ACATGCCCTTGACCGGAATCGAACCCGGGACCCTTCAGTCCGCAGGCCGATGCTCTATCCACTGAGCCACACCGGCCAGGGCAGGTTTGGGATTTCCTGACCCCGCGGCTGGGAACACGGCCAGAGTCGCCTCATGTACTTGTCACCTGCGTGCGGTCGCGCCGAAGGGCCAGATGCGCACAATCTCCTTCTTGGTCCGTGTTTATCTGCGGGTTTGTTGCCGGGTGTTAGGTTCTAACTGTAGCGCCAGGATAGATGCGGCGAGCAGACACCGGCCAGGGGGTGGGGGTGGGGGGGCAGAGCCAGGCGCACCGTGTGAGAGCGCGAGCCCGGTTATTCTTGTGTTTTACTGTTAATCACTGCACTTTCCATAGGAGCCGCTGTCAGCCCGTGTTTGCCGCCCCCTCCTCCCCATTGGACGGTGGCCTGCGTTGGTGTCCGGGACTCGCATGCTCTGACTGATTTCCTAGGGAACAGCACCGACGTTGCAGAGTCCAGTAGTTCTGGCCCTTTAAATACAGTTCCTCATGTTGTGACCCAACCATAAAATTATTTTCGTTGCTACTTCATAACTGTAATGTTGCTACTGTTATGAATCGTCATGTAAATATCTGATATGCAGGATGGTCTGAGGCGACCCCTGTGAAAGGGTCGTTCGACCGCCAAAGGGGTCGCGACCCACAGGTTGAGAACCGCTGCTGCAGACGCTGCTCCCTGAGCCCGGGAGCTGGCAGCGGAGGGAAGGGGCGGCTCGGGGAGCCCCGGAACCTGTGTCGCCGTCTGCGGGCGTGTGTGCACACTGAGCAGTTGGGTCTGTGCTTTCTGCTCTGGGCAGAGCTCCTGTGGCAAACAGCCCCGCCGAGGCCGGAGGAGCTGTGGGCGGGACCTGGAGGGTCAGATGCCCCCTGGCTGGGAGCTCAGCTGGCGAGAGAGCATCCTCCCGACACCTCCCGACAAAGCTGTGGTCCATCCGGGTCCAGGACAGACAAGAATCACCAATGAATGCATAAGTGGAACAACACGTGGATGCTTTTCTCTTCGTTTAAAAATCAATCAATAAAAATATACGGTCACATGATGCTGGTATTGATCTGTTTCTTTAATCCATAAATGTAGGTTCGCACAAGTTCCCTTACTTTAGCAGCTAGTAAACATGCAGACAGGTGAGGTTAAATGGTTAAATTTACCTCTCATTTTTACACTTTTTTTTTTCCACCTGGTAGTTTTGATTTTTTTTTTTTTTCAGCACTAGGTCTAGCTAGCTAACATGTAAGGGCCAAAACTTAGAGGAGTAATGCAAATGATATGGTTTATATTGTCTAATAGCTCATGGCTCTCTATTCCGTAGATAGGTATTCGGTTGCCATTATCTCTGCATTATCTTGTACTTTGCCGCTGGAGGACCTTAATGTATGTACTTGTTGGCGGAATTAAGGAGTGCGGCTTCTTAAGTGTATCTTGGCCCTTTCACCTTCCCTTGCCTTTGGTACTTGATGTTCCCTGAAGCGTTCCTTTCACCCCTCAGGGGCCTGGTGGACTCCTCCTCCTCGGGCTGACTTTCCTGGCCTCGTTTGAACTTTCCTTCTCAGACCGTGGTAGTTGCTAACTCGCCACTGTCTGCCCTGTGATACGTCAGTCTCGTGGGTACGTTGGTCAATTTTTATTCACTTTGTATTTTAAATACATAGCTATGTCTCTGTGTAACCCAGGGAAGTAAGAACTAGAAGGTTCGTGTAGGGGGCAACAGTTTCTAAATGCAGAGGGCGGTCAAGGGGTGTGATCAGAGCAGGGAGCCCGAGAATGGCTCCTCTGTTTACAACACATCCAACAGGAACGTGGGGTACCCTCGCGGGGGCAGGACCCTCTGGCCTTCCTGTCACGTGACACCCTGTGGATGGAAGGAATGAGAGAAACAGTGCTGCACACAGATTGCAGGGATGGGTGAGAAGGAAGTAACAGACCTCCACGGTCCTGTCTCATTATTTCCCTCGAAGCCAGGCTCCTCTGAAAGGGCGGTGGCTTTTTTAAACCGATGTTTTCTGTCTTTGACGTGTTTAGAAAGATTTATCTCTTCCTAAGCGTAAAATACGTTTCTGAACGTCTGTTCTTCCTAAATTTGCCTTCATCAGAGAGGGGCTTGTTAAGCAGTAAATGTTACTATATTATTACCTCCTATGTTGAGGGCACACCTACCTGGAAAATATGTTGATGGGCCATCCCTTGAGATTTGAATGTTTAAACCTCCTTTCAAGCATTGGATCCTAATTATGAAACAGTCTGTACATCATCTTCATTGTAATAATTTTTGCCAGGAATTAGATTTGTAACCTTTCCAATCTTTTGTTCAGACGAAAAGCGTCTTGGGAAGCTTTTGATTTTTAATAGATTTTGGAACAGTTTCCTGTGGTTCTTCATCATCTACACTAATAAAAGAGAAACATGGTAATTAGCGTACGACCGCTACCCTTTTCATTGGCTAATCAGTGAGTATATGCAAATTAGCTGTCAGCCAAGATGGCGGCCGGCAGCCAGGCACTGAAGGGAGCACGAGGCTTGCTTGCTGCAG